CAGGCCAGATTCTAAGGATATCTCGGGGGAGAGACACAGTAATTATGGGAGATTTCAATCTCCCGGATATTAGTTGGGGACTCACTTGGCGGTGACAGCCAGTTCACGTCATTCCTAGAAGCTATAGAGGGAGGGTTTTTCACACAGAGGGTCCAAGAGGCAACGAGGGGGGGAAACATCCTTGACTTGGTCTTGACCAATAGGGAGGAGCTGATAGATGAAGTACAGATTAGGGGAGCTCTGGATGCGAGTGATCACTCCATCCTTTGCTTTGAGATCAGGGGACTGGGGACGTGCAGCAGGTTGAGCACTAGAAGCTGGGACTTCAAGAGGGCCAACTTTGGCCAACTGAAGGCCAGACTGGGGAAAGTCTCCTGGGTTACAGGAAGGTAAGCAAGGTGAAGAGGGGTGGATGACACTCAAAAGGGAGGTTTTGGAGGTGCAAGCCTTGACGATATCTCTAGTCAGTAAGGTGGGGAGGCGGAGGAGGGCGCCGCCATGGATGCGAAAGGAGGTGCTTAGAGGGATTAGACGAAAGAGGAACCTCCGTAGGAAACGGGTGGACTGGAGGGTGGTCTCAGTGGTCCCAATTTTCAAAAAGGGTAGTAGAAGGGACATGGGGAATTATAGACCGGTTTGCCTTATGTCCATTGTAGGAAAAACAATGGAAAGGCTCATAATAGAGAGAGATCTAGTGATGCTAGATAGGGAAGGGAGGCTGACAGCCACACAACACAGCTTCCGCAAAAACGGGTCCTGCCAGACAAACCTTGTGGAATTCTATGGCAAGGTTTCGAGATGGCTAGATGGAGGGGATGCAGTGAATGTGGTATACCTGGATTTCAGCAAGACCTTCGACAAAGTGTCCCATGATATCCTGGTGGAGAAACTGAGGAGTTTTGGGATACACCAAAGCACTGTCCGGTGGATTAGGGCATGGTTGACTGACCGAAAGCAGAAGGTAACCATTAGCGGGGAATCATCGGGATGGCGGCCAGTAACAAGCGGGGTCCCCCAGGGCTCTGTCCTGGGGCCGATCCTATG